CCATAGCAACCACCCAGGACACCCTAGCAACCACCTAGCAACACCATAGCAACCACCCAGAGTACCCTAGCAACCACCTAGCAACACCATAGCAACCATCCAGAACACCTTAGCAACTACCTAGCAACAACCTAGCAACCACCAGATCACCCTAGCAACACCATAGCAACCACCCAGAACACCCTAGCAACCACCCAGAACACCCTAGCAACCGCCTAGCAACACCATAGCAACTGCCTAACAACACCATAGTAACCACCCAGAACACCCTAGCAACCGCCTAGCAACACCATAGCAACCACCCAGAACACTCTAGCAACCACCTAACAACACCATAGCAACCACCCAGAACACCCTAGCAACCGCCTAGCAACACCATAGCAACCACCCAGCACACCCTAACAACCACCTAGCAACACCCTAGCAACCACCAAGAACACTCTAGCAACTGCCTAACAACACCATAGCAACCACCCAGAACACCTTAGCAACCGCCTAGCAACACCATAGCAACCTCCCAGAACACCCTAGCAACCACCTAGCAACACTATAGCAACCACCCAGAACACCCTAGCAACTGCCTAGCAACACCCTAGCAACCACCAAGAACACCCTAACAACCACCTAGCAACACCATAGCAACCACCCAGAATACCCTAGAATCTATCTATCTATCTATCTATCTATCTATCTATCTATCTATCTATCTATCTATCTATCTATCTATCTATCTCTATCTGTCTCTTTCTAACTCTATCTATCTCTCTAACTATCTCTATCTATCTATCTATCTATCTATCTATCTATCTATCTATCTATCTATCTATCTGTCTGTCTATCTGTCTGTCTGTCTGTCTGTCTGTCTGTCTGTCTGTCTGTCTGTCTGTCTGTCTGTCTGTCTGTCTGTCTGTCTGTCTGTCTGTCTGTCTGTCTATCTATCTATCTTTAAACTAAGTTAAACTTAATTTAAACTTTTAGACTAATTTAAACTTCAAACTACTTTAAACTTCTTCAAACTATTTTAAACTTCTTCAAACTTTTTGTTCCAAACTTTCACAAGCCAACTTAAAGTTTGTCTCGACGAACTTTTTAATCTAGTTATTATTATTCTTCTTACTCAAAAATTTGCAACTCTATCTCCTCCTAGAGCTTTAACTCCACATACTCCAAACTCGGCACGGACACTCAAACTGTTCTGACTCGGTGTGCTATATCTTTTCTAACTGATCGGACTTACGGTTCTCCTAAAAATGACGATCAAAGTCGGAAAAAACTCCCATTGACTCCCATTGAGAAATTCAAACTGCCCAACTGTCAACAATTCAAATCTAAATACCTTGAAGCCCCAGACTCAATCAAACTGCCATTCTATACACTATATGAGCCATTGAAACTCATTTAAACTAATGAACTCATCTATCTATGACACTTATCTATCTAATCTTAAACTCTTAAACTCAAACTAAATTAATAAACTCTAAACTTGAACTCTCTAAGACTCATTTAAACTTATAAACTCTAAACTCATAAACTCTAAATTCATAAACTCATACTCTTATAAACTCTCATAAAACTATTAAACTCATGAATTAATAAACTCTGGACACTTACTCATTTAAACTTATAAACTCTAAACTCAAACTCTAAATTCACACCTTAGCAACCAGTTACAGCACCCTAGCAACCGTAGGCCATAGGCACGAGGCCGCAGGCCTCGTGCAATACTAAATATTGCTGATTTCTCAGAAACTTGTAATGTACCACATTTGAAGAGGCTGACAGGCTCTGTAAGAAAATACCTCACAGTGGGGGAATAGTTGCACCCCTGGGGGGCAGGAGCTGCCCAAAATTGCCCCATAGACTTACATGAAATGGGCCGTCCTACACATTGCATTAGGGTTTTATATTGAACATAGCTCTGGATCACAGTGTCATAGAGACAAGGGGGCGGGCTCATTTTACTCATACGACCAATCAGTCTCTCAGGATCATTGTGTAGCTATCAAGCCACGCCCTAGCAACCATTTAGAGCACCTTAGCAACAACTCCAATACACTTCCATTGAAAGAGATTGAAGGGATATCTCCGGATAGAAGTGTCATAGAAATATGTGGGTGGTCTCGTTTGACTACAGGTAGCAAAGTGCCAACCATGAATCACCTCAACAATTTCTGGCCACGCCCCTAGCAACCATTAACAAGTACCTTAGCAACCACATTCTAAAGAGGGATATCTTCCATTCTGAATGTCACAGAGTCATGAGAGTTGATTTATATAATTCATAGTGACAAGACGCATTTGGAGATTCATCACTGGCAGCTGCCAAGCAACTCCCTAGCAACTAAACAGAGTACCCTAGCAACCATTAAGCAAGATTTATATCTCTGCATCAGAACAACATATAGAGATGGGGATCGGTTTAAATCATTCATACTGACAAGCAGCCTTTGGAGTTTCATGATTGGCAGCTGTCAAGCCAATCCATAGCAACCAAACAGAGTACCCTAGCAACCATTTTTTAACAGCTATATCTCAGAATCAGAACATTGTATCGCGATGGGGGTTGGGTCTTTTGACTCATGCTAGCACACAGGACTTTCAATATGCTAAACATGCTAGCTGTGAATAGCTAAATGCTAATATGGATACTTTATAGTAACTATATGTGAACACTACCAACCAAGTAGCAATACCATAGCAACCACCCAGGACACCCTAGCAACCACCTAGCAACACCATAGCAACCACCCAGAGTACCCTAGCAACCACCTAGCAACACCATAGCAACCATCCAGAACACCTTAGCAACTACCTAGCAACACCCTAGCAACCACCCAGAGCACCCTAGCAACTGCCTAGCAACACCATAGCAACCACCCAGAACACCCTAGCAACAACCTAGCAACACCCTAGCAACCACCAAGAACACCTTAGCAACTGCCTAGCAACACCCTAGCAACCACCAAGAACACCCTAGCAACTGCCTAGCAACACCATAGCAACCACCCAGAACACCCTAGCAACCGCCTAGCAACACCATAGCAACCTCCCAGAACACCCTAGCAACTCCCTACCAGCACCATAGCAACCACCATAGTAACTCTATCTATCTATCTATCTATCTATCTATCTATCTATCTATCTATCTATCTATCTATCTATCTAACTCTATCTATCTGTCTCTTTCTAACTCTATCTATCTATCTATCTATCTATCTATCTATCTATCTATCTATCTATCTATCTATCTATCTCTCTAACTCTACCTCTATCTATCTATCTATCTATCTATCTATCTATCTATCTATCTATCTATCTATCTATCTATCTATCTATCTATCTAAGTTAAACTTAATTTAAACTTTAGACTAATTTAAACTTCAAACTACTTTAAACTTCTTCAAACTACTTTAAACTTCTTCAAACTTTCTGTTCCAAACTTTCACAAGCCAACTTAAAGTTTGTCTCGACGAACTTTTTAATCTAGTTATACTTGATCTGTAGATTCGTTTCGTGCATCATGAAAAACTCACACACTAAAGCCCTACAATCTGATGTTCGCTAGAGCTATCCAAGTTTAGTCGAGCTTCACTCATATTTGTTAAAGAATTATATTTTCACACACAGTTCACATACAAATAAGTCAGCACTAGAAGCGACTCGCCTGTCCAGAAGAAACGGTGCAACCTCGGCGCCCGATTTTGAAAATGTTCAATTCTTTGAGGTCTCTCCACCGTTCCTGATTATTATTTGTTTCTTTGATGAAAAACGACGGTATTCCCTCGCCCTAATCCTCACACTGAATTAGCGGGATGTAGCCTTCCTCTTCTCTTATTTGGCCAGTATAAAAAAACTTCTCGGTTAACATAATGTCTTCAACTAGGCCTAAGTGTCAAACCTCTCTGAAATCACACTATTTCATATTTATCGATTATAACATATTCAATAAACCAAACTCATCTTACGAATTATTAACGAAGGAATTATTTTGAGCCCCGCAAAATTAAAAGTTTTAAGAAATGGCAAGTGAAATGGTGAATTCAGGCCTGCCTGAAAGTTTTTTCAGCTCTGTCCAACTAAATCCCTCACCTTTTCTACTTATATGGTTAAATACATATTTTGGCTGTAATTTAACTACGGTGTACTAAAATAGGTGTTTCTCATATCGCAAAATAATATTGATATCGTCTGTAAAGGGAAAAATATTGTGATGAATTTTTGCTCATATCGCCCACCCCTACACTACGCTCACATTATTTATGGTTTAGTTCCTTTATTGTTCACAAGTGGAAATTTGTCTTTGGCTTCACTAAATACCACACATAAGGACACCCGAAAAACACAACAATATACATAAAAAAAGCAATTAAAACAATAACATAACCATGTACGTCTATGCATAGTCTACATGTCCACCCCTACTCATATTCACATCTTCTCAACGTTATATATTGTCAAAATGAACATGTTTCTGTTTAACATGTTAAAATACAATTTATTTATTTTCCAATGATCACGCGCTCATTCATTCAAGAGTGATAAGATGCCAAAAAAGGACTTAAATCTGCACTGGTTCGCGTCTGTGAACAAACAGGTTCGTCGAGTGAGAACAATAGAGACATGAAGGGGGCAGTTCTCCTCACCAGACATGAGGCAATAGACTGCAAATGGGCATTTACAGGGCAATAAAATATCTTATTAGCATCTTAAAAACTCACATGACATGGTCTTAGAAAATGTTTAATAAAATTCATAGTTTTATAGATAAAATCCAACATCCTCAGTAGTATGAGTAGACTTCTGGCTTCAGGTTCATTGTGTTTCTTAGTTGATACGACACAGCCACGTAATATTTTATGCATTTAAAAAATATATATTTTATGTTTGAGCTTGTATATCTCCATATTTGAATGCTGAACTCTGAAGTGTTGGCTTTCTAAATATATGTTGGTCATTTGTCTATTTAGAATGACTTCAGTTTTTTTTTAACATGGTTACAGCCGCCAACGTGCTGTTGTCTGAGTCCGGAGAGGTGAAGCTGGCCGACTTTGGTGTGGCAGGACAGCTGACAGACACACAGATCAAAAGGGAGACGTTTGTGGGAACACCGTTCTGGATGGCACCAGAGGTCATCCAACAGTCTGCTTATGACTCAAAGGCAAGTCCCTCTGTGCTTAATCTACTTTAACCAGCTTACACACCTGCAGCAGGCTTATTTATCATCTAAACTCCCTAATTATGATTCCATAATCACACCGTTCGTTAAAGAGGAGGGCCATAATGAGTGTGAGAGCTCAACACGGTGTTGTAATGCAAACCACTAATTATCAAGAAACACTATGAAGCTCAATGCTGTTATTAAAGGATAAACTGTTCACACGTACCCATATATAAACATGCATATCATTTAGGGCTGGGTGATAATTATTGCAATGTAATTTTCCTCGATAAAAGTATTTAATGTACTGAGAATGTATTGTAAAAATCAATAAAAACAAAGTTTGAAAAAAAAAATGTTTTGTTTATGCACCACACAGACCATTTATCCGCTCGACTCAAAGTTAAAACGATAGATTCGTTTACTCTCTGATCAGTCTCGGTCACATGACCACTGAACAGCGAAGCCAGATGAAACCGCGCAGAAAAACACTGTCGCAACGATACAGTCCGAAGGCTTTTCAATCTACAAATCACCATCATTTACCATGGATTCACTTTAGTAACGTTAACTGCATCATGGGATTGTGGCTGTTCATATCGAATTTATTATATTATTAATGTAGACATGTATTAAAGCTATAGCATTTGTCTTTAGGCTATTGTTTTTCGTAACGAATACCATAGAAACTATATTTGACCATAATGGTGAGGTGCAATATGTGTGGTTTTACGTGTGGTTATTATCATGATCTAAATGTATGATTCTATAGATAACCAATGGTTAATTGTAATAAAAGTAGAGTCTTAACTCAAACTGTCAGAATATTTGCATTTTATCTTACGAAAATAACGTTTACAATTTTTACAGATGTTACCGTTTTTGTTAATGAACATAAATTTGCATCTGCATCCAAACTCAAGCTACTGTCAAATGTGCATTTCTAAGACACAAAACGCATATTATCAACATTAATCTTAAATACGCAAATCGATATTAATATTGCGGCCTTGCATTGCAAACTGATGAAGTTACGCGTCATTAAAGTCAGACAACACAAACCTGTTTGACCCGTTAACACGTATGCAAAAACTAAAAAATGAATTTAACTTTTTATTTTTAGGGGTAAAAGACTGAAAAAGGATTTTACATAAGTTTACTTGTGCTTATTTTGATGTTTTATTGTAATTTTGCGAGATGTTTGTCGTGTTGTGACCGTTTAAATTAATTGTTAAATTAAGGAGCAAAAATCTACCTTTAAACTTGTATAAAATAAAATATATGTGATATTATTTATCGTGATCAGTTTTTGGCCCTATCGTCCATCCCTAATATCAATTGACTTGTACGTCTGTAGATTAAAAAATAGAAGAAAGAAATCTCGCAAGCGTGTTTTGTCATATTGTGCTTTAACGTACAATCACAGTGTTTTATTGCACATAAACTTTACTTGCTCCATCAAGCTAATCTGCTATTTTATTCATGCTTTACAGTGTTAATCTTTAAAACAGCATAAGGATGCCAAAAAAAGTGGTTTGTTTAATTTATATATGTAAGGATGATGGCGTTTAAAAAGTCCTTTATTATTATTTGAGATGCTTTCATTATGTTAAAGGACAAATATAAAGCAATGATGTTATGAACTTTAGTGCTGTAGCAGCGCGTCTGACAAAATTACGTCAATGTCACATTTTCGCGTCGACACTTCGTTATTTCGTTTTTGCGTGTTCCCGGCGATAAAGCTTGCCACACACACACGTGGGAGACCGAAACATTGCAGAATAGAGGACGAAGACAACTAGAAGTAAATGTGCTTTCCATTAAATGCACACACAGTAAACAAAACCAAAAAAAGAAAACGTTGCAAACTGGGTGCTGGTGTGGTGAGACGTACAAGCTCGTTCATCCTCGGACGCGGCGCCACGCATGCGCTTTCCAAAAATTGCTGCACACATCCAAGCGAAATGGGGTCTTCCTGGTCTTGCGCACCCATTGCGTCATTTCTCCGATCGCACCACTAACCCCGCCTCCGTTTCCCTCCTCAGCTGATATTAGCATTTAACCTCTTAACTGTCACCCCCCCTTTTTTGAATAGACATGAAAATGCACATTTCAAACTTAAATGGTTGTAATTCAAGAACGCTTTGGAATATAGACATATGATTGGTCTTGTTTTAAAGAAGACATTTGGCAGATTTTTGTAGAAGTGAAATAAATTAAGAAAGTTAAACAGAAAAAAAGTTATAGAAGTTTGAGTTTATGGAAATGTACAATGTAAAAATATTAATTATTCATATTTTACATAAAATATATATTTTCAAAACCTGGGCTACTCTAAAACTGCAGAAAAATCAAAGCCAAAAATCTGAACAAGTTGTGTTTCAAATTTTAGGTTGATATCTCAAAAAATGAGCTTTCAGTAAGATTTTGTTTGAGCGCAGTTCCAAACTTTTTCACTAGGGCACAATCAGACTCCATTACTGCCCATATAAGGGCGCCTGCATTTCCATTCGTGTTTTGAGTGATATGAACCATTATTTTCACAATTTTCATACAATTTCTGAAGTAGAGATCCTATTCAGAAGTAGTATGGGAAGTTTGGCAGATTTTGATATGAATTGAACCTCTAAGAAACACATACAAAGAACACGCATGTAAGTCATAGCTAGCTGCCACGTCACAAATGGTGAATTTATTATTTTTTTCTTGATATTTCAAACTTTTCAGACCTTTTTTTTCCAAAATAATTGAATGGATTCTATCTTTTGAACTTTTGGCATGAAAACAAACTGAGGTATCTACCATTTTTTCATGATTTTTCATGTTTACTGCTATTTTAAAATAAAGGTCTGAACACGCCTTATGAGTATGAAAATATTCTTGTTGCATATTGATAAATTATGGCTTCTCTGTAATATATTTTGAAAATCAGTCACCAAATATGGAAACTAGAGATTGTAAGCTTTCAAATGATATATATTTTGTCAATATTATTTAAGGTATTTACTAAGATATTATTGTTTTAAAAATATAGTGGCAAACGTCCCACCTGTGGGACGGTGACAGTTAAGCATTCTCTATGAAAAAAAAAATGTTAGTAAAAAAAAAATTTAATAAAACGGTTTTGGCAGTAGTAGAGTTATAAAGACGGTGTTCAAATACAACATTAGACTAACGTTAGCCAGCTTACCGTATAATGATTCAGTACGCTAGTATTTATTTGAGATACATTTGTTTTTTTATTAATCGAGCAGCAGAAAAATATTCTTTATATTAGTCGTCCAATAGATTAGTCGACTAATCTATAAAATAATCGCCCAACTAATCATTTAGTTAATAATTGTTTACCCCAGCCCTTTAACTCTTTCTTGCTTTATTCTGAAAGTCGTTTCATTGTGTCGGACCTCATAAAGTAGTTTGTTTTGCTCTCAGGCTGATATCTGGTCTCTTGGGATCACTGCCATCGAGCTGGCCAAGGGCGAGCCGCCGAACTCAGACATGCACCCCATGAGAGTCCTCTTCCACATCCCCAAGAACACGCCGCCCACCCTCAACGGAGACTTCTCCAAGATCTTCAAGGAGTTCGTGGACTCCTGTCTCAACAAAGACCCTTCATTTGTAAGCACAGCTAATGCATTGCTTTCTCTTTCAGGAATGATGTACTTAAAACTAGGGTTGTCACAGTATCTTAAAGGGATAGTTCACCCCAAAATGAAAACTCTGTCAGTAATTACTCTCCCTCATGTTGTTCAACCCTGTTAGACTTTTGTTCATCTTCACAACACAAATTAAGATGTTTTTAATGAAATATGAGAGGTGGATCAAAAAACAAACAAAACGACTTCATTCAACAATTAATTTCCTTCTTTGTGGGCCTCGAGTGTGTCCACGCAGTGTAACAGCGCAGAGCTTCTGTGTTGTACGTCACACGCAGGCTCACTATTGGCTGTTACACTACGTGAACTCACTCGAGGCCCACAGAGAAGGAAATTAATAGTTGAATAAAGTCGTTATTTTTGTTTGTTTTTGTGCACAAAAAGTATTCTCGTCGCTTGATAAACTAAAGGTTGAGCCACTGTAGTCACTCTTTTACTCGGACAACTATAGGTGAATTATCTTTGGTATAGCAGCTAAAGTGTCACAATACTAAGTAGTATCAAGTGTTATTTTAGTATTTTTGTGATGCTATTGTAGTTTAGTAATATTTTGAATTTGTTTATTAGTCATTGTTTAAACGCAGTACTAAGACGCGTTTTGGTCGATCATGTAACACGGGTGTAAACGGGTCTAAAGCGCTTTGAGCTCGTCCACTTCCAGTTGAAAACACACTCGAGCGGATTGCTGTCGTAGTGTAAACGCTCATGTGTTCAAACAGACATTAAAAGAGCGTCTTCTCTCCGTCTGCTGAATAATGAGTGAACATTATAGAGATCTAGCCAGACGGGGTTTAAACTTTATCAGCTGAAGACACGAGGAAATCAAACACAATGTTCTCTCAGCGTTCCTGATTTCTAACACACACTCGCAGCGTTCGGCTGGTCTCGAGGCTGGAAGAGCAGAAACTCAAGCTGTTGCTCTCGGTTTGATTATCTTTCGTGTTTAAATGTAAATGGTGTGATGTGATCTTTTTTTTTTCCAATAGATTGAAAGATGTGAAAAAACACACATTTACTCGCCCATAGACCGTCCTCTAGAAGGAAATCAGGACAGAAGTGGTTGAGAGTGGACAAATTAGATTTTATTAGTTGTTTTAGTTTTTATAAATTTAGTTTTATATTTTTTTTAATTCTAGTATCAAGTCAAACTATATGTAAATAAGAAATGTGGCTTTTGCAACTCAAAATAGCTTAAATATTCGTTTTTTTATCACCCTACAAGTTCCATTAAACCATATTTATGAAGGAAAAGCTAAACACTTAACTTAAAGGTACAAAAAAGTGCAAGCTACAGGTTTAATTTTACAATGCAAAAAACATTGCAAAACAGAAAAAGCATACATTGACTTCAACATAATCAGTTATTAATAGTTTGTTGGTTATTTCTTGTTAATGCGTTATTGCATTATCGTCAAGAGACACAACTAGGCATTATGATTACAAAATCTTTAACAAATGTTTGATTAAAAGATAAAGTCAATTCTCCTAGGCTTGACATCACTTTTGATCTCTTTTTTTTCCAGTTAATATTTATTTAGTTTTGTTAAGTATATTTTTTATGGTTTTGGTTTTGTTGCTGAGCAGAAACACAATCATGTTTCTCTCGGTCTCCTCAAAGTCACGTTGGGTTTTCTCCTCCGTGTAAAGGTCGAGAGACTAACCTATCACTGTTTGACATGTTCGTAGAGTTAGTTTCTTCAGTAAATATATAGGCTATAATCTGTGTGTTTTTAAAGATGGCGTGTTCTGGTGTTTGTTCGAACACTGAGGTCACGGTCAGTTCCTATAGCGCTGGTCTAGGGTAGGAGGGTTAGATTAGTTATTAGCTAAATTAGTTCCTCCCGCCAATAGTTGCAGGAACTGTGAACCGCTTCCTCCGGTGCGAAAGCCGCTAGTGTTTAGTACTGTGCTGTTTTGTGAATACCGTGGCACTGCGAGGATCTTGAGCCGTTGCTGCCAGCATATAAAGGGTGCGACACAAACTTATCCTGATGTGTTTGTAAAGTGATAAAGGAAATATGTCATTATACCTTCCTTTCTCAGAGGCCCACAGCAAAGGAGCTTCTGAAGCACAAGTTCATACTTAAATATTCCAAGAAGACGTCCCACCTCTCCGACCTCATCGACAGACTGAAGCGCTGGAAAGCCGAGGGACACAGCGATGGAGAGTCCAGTTCTGACTCTGACTCGTAAGCACACACATACATTCAAAACACAATCATTTACAATCCTGAATAAGGAAACCCTGTTTTGCACACCCTGCTTTCATCACTAGATGCCTGATGCCATAGATCTTGTTTAAAATGAAGGATCACAGTAGAATCAATGGCCAGACTTTGTCTCTTCTCCTCACCAAGGAGTGTTTGTTTGATTCAAAATACAAAAAAAGTGATATTATTGCAATTTAAAATAACTATATTATAAAATGTTAATATAATTGTAATTATTTGTTATTAAATAATTATTATAATATTAAATAATTGTTAATATATTGTAAAATGTAGTTTATTCCTGTGATCAAAGCTGTATATGCAGCATCATTACTCCAGTCTTCAGTGTCACATGATCCTTCAGAAATCACTCTAATATGCATTAACATGCATTTATAATTATTTTCAATGTTGAACATTTTTCCTAATTTTCCTTGCATGCACATTAAGTAAATTATATTTTATTCAAGAACAATTGTTTCAAAAGTTGATGCACTTTAAAAAGTGAATTATTTCATTTCAATAAAAGATGTGCTTGATTTGGTTATTTTTGCTTATTGCGCCCTCTTGTGGGCATATGAGACGACAGCACTTTTGTTCTCTAACAGTAACATTAAGTTCGCCCTTTAGAATTTTTTTAAAGATTTTGCTAATATAATATTTAATTTTGACAGTCCTAGTGTGAACACACCCTAAATTTATTAAACTACCCTGAGCATCTCGATGTGTTCTCGATGGTCTAATTGTGTGTGTGTGTGCCTAACAGAGAGAGCAACAGTAAGGACAATGAATCGTCTCCTGAATGGTCCTTCACAACCGTTCGAAAGAAGAAGCCAGAAAAGAAGCAGCCCAACGGGATGGTTAGTTATCAATGAATGAAGATTTGGATATTCAATGAAAAAATACTCTGAAACTGGTAATCCAGAACATGTCTGTGTCTTTTGCTCGCCTCCCTTCAGGCCGAAGAAGTGCAGAAGAAGTCCATCAGTTTAACCACCGTCATGGCTCCTGTTTTTTCTGAGGTAGGGGATCTAGTCTTCTCATGTTCAAGAGGCCAAATGAAACACAAAAACAAATTTTCTGCATGTGAATGCTGTTATACATGAATATTATGACACGAGCGATGCAAAAAGCATTGTTTCCAAAATAAATCATTGGTTAGCAATTAAATGTTACATCGCAGCCAAACTTTTGGGTTGGTGACGAATAAGAGAGTTGTGTGTGAGCCCATAAATTTAAGCTTTGAATTCGGTTTTGCAATCTGGTCCTCCGATTATCAGCGAATTTAACACTATTCTGTTGCACTTTAAAACTGAATACGCTGAATCTAATCAATAAAATTCTGGCAACAGATTACAAGCAATATTATTAATTAAATGTAAAAAATTAGAATTGAGTAATAATTAATCAAATTAATTCCTTAAAAGTTAACCATTTAAAATGAGTAAAGTTTACACCCAAAAATTAAACAAAAATATCTGAATAACAGACAGACGTCAAAGATTAAGAACTCTTTATTTTATATGGCCAACATTGAAGACACCTGATGTTAACAAGCAGAATCACTGAAGGAGAAAACCGCCATTTTAAAACAAACACCGATCACCATAATGGTGACTTCAATTTATGTTTTTTGTTTGTTTGTTGTTGTTGTAAGGTTTACTCATTTTACAGGGTGAACTTTAAAGGAATTAATTTGATTAATTATTACTCAATTCTAATTTGTTAAATTTAATTAATAATATTGCTTGTAATCTGTTGCCACAATTATTTTGATTAGATGAAGCGTATTAGTTTTAACAGTGTACTCTCTGAAATACCACATTTTGATGTACTTTTTAAGATATGGGAGGAATTATTTAGGATAGCAGTTCTTTACAACTGATTGATTTAATTTTGTTTTACATTTAAAAGTTGCAGGATTACATTTTGCATATTACAGTTGCCCTAGACTTGTTTTCAGTGTATGTTTAGTTATTCGACCGGTTTCTTTTCCCAAATCTTCACTCACGTCTCACCCATTTTCTAAGGGATTATAAACGTTTCTTTCTTTGGTTTGCTTTAAGGTAGGCCTATTATACACTGTGGTGAAGTAGAAAACGCTGTAGGAAAGAGAGCCTACGTTTTTACTTGCACGTCATATGCTTTTTAACACAGTTTGTGCTTGTTTATTAGACTTGCTAAGGTGTGTAAAGTTTATTTGTAAAGCGTGATTTAGGCTGTACTGGATGTGCACGCAGTGAAAAACATCTCTGAAAGTGCGCGAGCACGGAGATGGTTTAACATTGCTTGAATGTTTAAACTGGTAAAACTTAAAGACGTGAAAATGATAAACGTTAGTTACTATGCAATGCTGACCCGATTGTGCAAGTGAATATCCCTCATGTCCCGACTCCTGAACGCGAGTGTGTATCGACGCCTGCAGCACTTGCCTTGTGTGAGAGAGAAGACGCAGCACCGCCCGCCCTGAATATGGAAAAATCGTTTTGAATTGACCACATTTTCAAAAACAATTAATCGAAAAATCGATTTGAATTGACCACATTTTCAAAAACAATTAATCGAAAAATCTATTGTTTTGCCCAGCCATTATTTTTTGTAAATATTTAACTTTATTATGTGTTTTAAGCAGAGATGTATAAAGTACTAGAAACCCGGACTTGAGTAAAAGTACAAGTGCTCTATCAAAAAAGTGACTTGAGTAGAAGTTGAAGTGCTCTTTAAGTAGAAGTTCTGAAGTATTCAACATTTTTTGTACTTAAGTATTGCAAGTAGTTTATTTTAAAATTCACTACTTAAGTACTAAAAGTTCAAGTACAAGTATTGTGTCATGCAATTATTAAAGAAAGCAGTCAAAAGTTTGAACTAGCAATCAAATAAGGCGCTTTGGCGGGATACAAATTTGCTTTGGCGGCCATTGCTGGACAACCCCTGCATTAGTCGTCAATGTGTGTGTCAATCAATACCATCACCCTATAAAACTGGCGTGTGATTTAGGCAGCATGAAAGCCCACTTGCAACGAATGATTCGTACAATTTTTATAATTGTAACGAGTAACTAGCAGAACATTAAAAAAAATATCGAAGTAAAAGTATTAAATTAATCGAAAATAGTATGAGAAAAAAACAATACTCTAGTAGAGTACAGATACAGCATTTTAGTTCTTAAGTAGTTCTACTTTGTTACTATACATCTCTGGTTTTAAGTTAATATTATTTACTGATATTTATCTCGATGCTTTACAGGCTTTAGTGTGATGTTTCATGGATGGAATTGCTCGAAAACATGCATGTCTGTTACGAAATGGATGTTTGAGCCTCGTTTATTATTATTATTATTTTATTTCAAAACAACCACCGCCGGTATTGCCGCCACCAAAGCTGCCCCAGAATCATTAGACACGAGAACCCTTCCTGTTCTGCCTGTTGAACGTGTTACGATGTGAGTGTGTGTGGCTTTTCCAGCTGAAATCCCAGCAGCGAGACGACGAGATGACGAGAGGAGTGTTGGAGGAGCTGGAGAAGAGTCTGCATGTGGCTGAGGATCTCTGTCCTGGTGTCACAGACAGCATGATCAGCCACATCCTCGAGAGAGTTCAGAGGTCAGACACACACACACACTGCACGATAATGCGTTTCCCATAGTGGTCAGCTGTCTTCAATTTAGGAGTGTGGAGACCAGCAGTTTACACCAGCGTTTCTCAAAGTGTGGGTCACCCCCCACTGGTGGGGAATAGAAACAAGACGGGTTTTGTGCGACATGTGGTCATTTTGTGCCCATCTCTATTAATTCCTTTATTTAGCATAAAAACAAAACGACGACACATTTAAATATAAGCCTTACTTAACCTTTTAACACTTAAGTGTAAACGTTTTTAGAGGCGCCCGTTATTTAGATCGTCTTCCGTTATGGTTTCCATGGAGACGCAGCCACAATAGCGCTGAATGACTGATTATCTGCTTTTATTTCACAAATTTGTTGGCTATCGCAGGAAATATCTGATATTCCGATTGTCAAATATGAGCAGGTGTTAGTTGAGCTATACACGATGGGTTAGTTTATACCGCATTTAGAGAATCGGATCTGCTGGATTTAACAAATTTATCCACTTCTCCCGAAATACATGAAAACTGGGAGAAGCATAGAGTAAACTTGAAAGTTACACATGATGTGTATTTGATATGAATAATACGTGTTGTCTAATTATAATGGGAATAATTATTATTTATGACATAAATTTCATTGACATAAATGTGTATTTGACAAACTCTAAATGTATTGCTTTTTTTAGTAACTTATGCGAATTTAAATGTCTGAATCTAAAATAAACACTATGTGGTTGAAAACACTGAATAGTTTTGATGTCAAGCGGTGAGCACTCTCCGTCTCTGGCTCAGAAAATATGTGTAGCCTGAAAACAGGCTTATTGAAGACACTAAATTAGTTAATCACTTAATTTTTAACTTTCAAAGTGCATCAGATTTATGAATTTATCTTTAAAATGTACAAACTTTTCTTCTGGGGGACCCCTAGTGCAGATGGTCCACACTACACAAAATACTGTGGGAAACACAGTGGCTAATATGATAGTCTCTGAAAAATACAAAATACAATTATTGTAATAAAAATACCTAAAATACAAACATTATTAGGATTTTTACCACCTCATTAACTATTTGATGTTATCAGAGGCAATATACAAACGCAATTGCATTATTATTTTAATCTACTGTCGAGTTTTTGTTTTTAAAATGTCATGTTGATAAAATACATTTTAACTAAAGCCTAGTTTATTAACATTTACCTTCAAAGTGGGGAATGGCAGAAAAAGTTTGAGAAACTCTGGTTTACTAGCAATAAACATTGAAAGGGTCATGCCATGCATTTTTTCATGATTATTTTCCACCCGATGTTACGCGGCATAATTACATGCTTACATAATTACACAACAATTATACGCTTAACTGAGTTTTCCGCATACAGACATTGTCAAAACAATCCCCGTTCACACGGATCCACAACATTAGATGTAGGGCTGGGTATTGAGACAAATTTCACAATTCGATTCGATTTCGATTCACAAGCTTGCTGTTCGATTCAATATCGATTATTTTGGATATCAGTTACAATAAATGGCCAATTTTCTCAAGGAAATCAAATCTCTTAACTAATGCTGTAAACTATGGGAGTCTAGTTGTAGCCTATAGGCTTCATTAGCCTAATATGAAGGTAATAATGAACTGTTTTGTAGCTATACAAACACTTAAATTACACTTTTATTTATTTTTATAATAAAAAGATTATATGAAATATAAACATTTAAATGGTGGCCGTCATAAAAACTTGCCATATTTATTCAAACATGCATTAAATATTGCAGAACATTAAGATTATAATGCATATGTAATATGGTGTATATATTTAGCAAAATGCTCCTCTCTAGAGTTATTTTTTCTAGCTGACTAACGAGTTGATGTGGGTTTTCTGAGGTAAATATGACGATACAGTGATTACAAGCTGTTTAACTGACGTCTTTCCACGGATGAAACGCTGATTGAGCGAATCAATGTGACATGATACGGATTTTGATAAGTTGTACTCTATCTTTAACACTCTTTCAGATGCTCGTTCATGTTTATTTGGCGCTGTGACTGGTATTATTAAGCCGGAAGAGAGATCAGCGCTGCTGCTTCTCCAGAGCGATCTCACGCCACAGCGACAAAACACTATTTATGTTTTTGAATTTCTAAAGAAAATGGACGTAATTTGAAAATTGAGACTTTGTTTCATATCAATAGTAACAAAGGACAAAGATTATTGCGATTTGTTGGATGCGCGCAGTCGCGATACAATGATCCATTCATTCAAATGAAACAGGATGACTAATCGATTCTTGAGATTTAAGAATCGACATCTGTTCGTAAAAATGAGAATCGATTAATATCGAGAAATCGATATTTATTACCCAGCCCTAGTTAGATGGCGATGAAACACTATAGACTGAACACGTAATACATGTGCATGACATCATCGTTTTCACAGATTCACGTTTTTGTTCTTTATACGGAGGCCGTTTTCAAAAATGTGCACTTTCACGCGCTGTCGTGGAAACAAACGGCCAAAACTGAGTCGTGTAAACGTACTCTGATATTCTGGTTTTAGTGCTACGTCTCCTTTAACCCTTATGCTGCATTAGGGACATTTTTGGTCTTTTGCAGTTTAATTTCTTTGACCATTTTGGCTGTTTTAATGCAAATGGTATGAAATTTGGCAAAATTGGGACTTTTTGGATACATGTAAAAAATGTGATCCCATTTTGCAAAATATGTATAACACACACTGTGTAGATCAAATAGTAACACTCAGCACCATAAAGACCAAAAATGGCCCATTGAAACCCATTAAAACGTTGTTTAAATCTGAGGCGGTCAGTAATACATGAAACATGATTTTTATTATTTTAGGCAATAGGCAATGTTTAATAGGTGGCCATTTTTGGTCTCTAACGTGCCAAGTGGGATTTTTTGCAAAGTGGGACTGTGATAATCCAAATCTAAAGTTTTCTCTTTGCATTTAGTTTATTGAAAATAATTGAATTTTTGTGTTTTTTCCTCTTATACAAATCGATGGTTTCGCAAACAAAACTGGTAATTAAAGGGTTAAAATCCTGAAATTGAATACATTTTTGGTAGTCATGATGAGGACTGATGCTGGTTAAAAGATTTAACTTGGTAAAAGTGGAAAATAATATATAATATTTTAGGCAATGTTTAATATGTGGCCATTTTTGGTCCTTAATGCACTCAACGGTGTTAAAAATCTAATGCAGCACAAGGGTTAAAGGGCTAGCTCATTTATTTGCCCGTAAGCCATCCAAGATGTAGATATCTTATCTTATTTTTAGCTGACGTCAACACACACACTCTCTCTCCCGCCTGTAGACCGCAGACGTGAACACACTCTCTCTCCCACCGCCTGCCGCGCACACACACACACACACCTGATGCATATCCGTGTGTGACGTGCTCCTCATCTCTGCTTCTGCGTTGTGTGTTGGCAGGTTCTCCGTGAGTTAGTGGGAAACGCCACGCTTCTGCTGTCAGCCCCGATGACTGCACCTTACACACACACACACACAGAGAACACACTATCTCATCATAACCAAAAGGAATTCTGCTCTTCTTGTCCCAAAGAATGGAAAATATATATATATTACATAGAAATCTAGTGTGTGTTCAACTGTATTTATACAATTTTGCCACACGCTTTTATATTAGTCTTCTGCCGGTGCCCGAGGATGTGTGTGCGTTACTGTTGTTTTACTCCGCTTTTTACTTTCGAAAGACACGACATATCCTGACTGGTCAAGTAGATCTTTTGGTTCACGTTTATTTATATGCGTTTGATGTCCCGATCTTTTGCTTTACTCTAAATGTTAAACTATGATCAATAATATATATATGCTGTATATATATATGTTTGGGAGATCAACAGTGCCTTTCTGTTCGTCTTGGTTTGGGATTTCTCTCCACACACTGTCGACTGTAGCGTTACAGAACTGCTGTATGGGATTACATGCATATCATATCAGACTAGAAGATGAATAGAGATACCTCACTGAAGCAATCGTTGAGAAGAAAACACACATCCGAACCGCTAGATCTGATCGAGGGGTTTTGCTGTGCGAAAGCTCCTTCGCTTCTTTTAATTGGTCTGTTCTCCACATTTGTCTGTCAGTAATGCCCTCTTTTACAGTGTCTTGTGTTCTCCAGCTGATATTTTTATATGAGAGTAGAGCTATACTGTATTTTTGAAGGAAATCTGCACTTCGTACGGGGCGTTTAAAGACATTCCTCTGACTTTGAGTAGATCTCAAGGGATCCTGCTTCTTTAACCAATGGGGACGTTTCTACACGAGTCCGCTATATCCTCCTCTGTTTTATGTAATCTCCTGTGATGAGGGATTTTCTTCTCTGTTTTGTTTGGCCAAGCTTGTAAAGAAACACAAGTGTGCCATTGCTGGTGCGGTGGTGACGTCGTCATGCGCTCCGCTGGGCCTGGAGACACTGTGCCAACGCTGCATCCCATTGTGCCTAAAAGAAAAGCTCACGTTTTTATGTATATGATGTCATTGTCTTCTCAAAAACAGCTTTAAGACGACGTTTTCACACGGTGCCAGACTGCTGGAAGATTTTAGAGCAATAAAGTAGGACATTTGTATATTTCTTTATAGATGTAGATGCAGAGGCTAGGTTTTGTACATTTCTTCACCAGAGCTTTTGTAAATTTAAGACGCCAGACGGAAATCTTTCTAGGCTGTATCATACAGATGCTGTTCTCTTCTCTATCTCTCTCTTTTTTTTTTTTTTTTGACATCAGCTGTTACAAATTAGTTTTTGTTTGGTGTGGCAAATAAAGATTTAAGTTATGACATTTCAGTCTGTCTGCTTTTTTCTCCCTTGAAGTTCAGACTTATGCACACCCCTATGTCACCAATATTCTGTGTGAATTAAAAATATAACGCAAAGCACTTATGTAGATTCATATTTAAAATTCTGTGGGAATATATTCTAAAGCATTGTCAAAAAAAAAGTGATTGTACAGGATTACAGGACCATTATATAATAAAGATTCTAACTGAAATTCATGTTACTTTGAACTAGGACTGTGCAAATAATGACAGAAATCAAATTTTTTTTGTTACTCACAGGCTCTGCTGAATGCCTGTGTATTTAGTCCTGCTTGTATCTAGGCACTTGTGTTCAGCTTCGACAGCCGATGCTGATGCCCCTTCATCACCGAACGAATGCTGTTCCTCGTCGTCCCGGAGCTCCCGGAGGAATGCCGCATGTGAGCCGGATCCGTGACAGTAGGAGGTCCCCGGGACAATTTTGTTATCTCGGATCTGATTTAAGTCACTGGTGTTCCACACGGTTCGGTGCTGGGCCATAAAGTGTTTCCCCTGTATATAAAAAAAACATTTGTAAATACCTAAAATATGAAAAATTGTTTTCTTTGCCAACAGACACAAATTTATATTGTTCAGGGGAAAAATTGGAACAGCTGAATAATACTGTGGAAATTGAATATTGATCATCTTTAAAAAGTGGTTTGATGATAATAGACTTTGAATTTAAGTAAAGCAAAGTTCATTCATTAGCTGTATGTAGTAATCGGGAAGAAAAAAAACAAAAAGCCAAAATTAGGATTAATAATGAAAATACATTTCTGAGTGTTACAATTGATCGTAAATAATGTTGGAAACCACATATAAAAAATATTAAAACAAAAAAGTCTAAATCCATTGCAATATTACACGGAACAAAACATATTTTGAATAGTATATGCAGTATGTTCACTCATAGCAGGGCCAGGCTACTTGTAAATATTTTTCTCAGAATAAATAATTTGTGTATGTGAAATATAAATTATTGTATTTAGCCTATGTTTGGAATGTAGGCCTACATTTGTAGTTATTTATGCACATTTGGGGAATGTACTGTTTTTATCTCCAGTGAGAAAACTGACGCTTGTAATTATGTAGAAAAGAATCAAGGATAAGCGTATCAACCTTTTTTTGTTGGTCTGTAGCTATTTTATAAATGTAAAACTGAACCCTGGTGATAAAACATCAAATTCAACCATTTTATATAACAGGACCCGTATGCGCGACCCACTGACACAATTCACTACGTGAGTGACGAGTGTGTGGGCGTGACCGGTGATGTCACACCTGTGGGCGGGGCCTTCAGCGTAAACTCAAAGCTCAAAGACGCGGGCGAACTCGGAGTCGCGCTGGTTCAAAAACACATTCTGGAGTATTTGCTGGCGACTCTGTCTTCATTACATCCTCGGAAGGTGATTTTTTCTCGATATTCTGTGCTACAAAAACTTGTTTTGCGTCTGTTAGTCTTGTATAGGGCTTTGGAGAGTGTTAGTAGTGAACATCTCTTAAACCTGTGTTTCGTTGTTGTTGTTGTGTAAGGAATGCGCTTGTTTTCCAGACATGGAGGAATGACTGTCTGCATATGAATTCAGCGGAAGCCGATGACAGAAGCGGTGTTTCCCTTTGCAAAGGTAATTTATTTTGCAAAACTTTCCTTGCCTTTGTTTACAAGTGCACGCCCACATGGCCTGCTGTGCTTTTACTTTCACACTGTCTCCCAAATGATGTTTCTGCCTTCCTCTGTGCTTCTCATTACCCTTCAAATAGCCTGCATTGTTCATTTGAGTAAATTATTAATAAGATGTAGACATTGATAGCCTCATAGGCCTGATGTTGGGACCATTTTCATTGCATAGACCCCAACATCAAGAGGACAAAGAAGAGCAAATGCACTTAAAGGTTACTAAAGTCAAGTCTCCTTCATTTATACTGCACTTTTTAACAATATAGACCGTTCAAAGCAGTGATAAGGTGATAATAGGAGATTACACTAATAGAGTTTCTGAATAAGCTCTAGATGTCCAGTTAAAGTTAGTTTTGATTGATTCACTAATGTTGCAACGATCATTAGTTATTAACTTCGCTAACACGACACCGTTCTAACAGAAAACCCCAGACAACACACACACACACAGTCTGAAGTAGTGACTGATGCACTGCCTTCCCTGCTTGAATAAATGACTGTGGGTGAAGCCGCTAAAGCACTGACCTGTACATGTCTTCACCAGGCTTTACTTCCCGTGGACCGGTTTGGACCCAGTCATGAAAGCTCCTGGCGAGGAGGAGAGCGGACGTCTGGACACACTGCTGGTCAACACCCTGGCCCGAGAGAGGCGTCTGTGGAGGACGCCGGTGCTGAAGAACGGATGCATTCAGGTGCGAGTGTGTGTTTAACTTCTGAACGCGCTGGTTTGGTCCGCTCGGACCGCATTTGATGTTTCCCTCATTAAAAAACATCGTTCCCTTCATCTCAGTGGTGTACACACTATCTATCTAAACACACACACACAGGCTTCATTTGGTTGACCCCACATTGAAAATTAGTTTTTCTTTTAATTTTTCAATAAAATCAATCGATCCAGCATAAATCTGAATTTTCACACCGAAATGAAGGGATAGTACTAGAGCATAAATGCAATGTGGAATACACACGCACACACTTTCTCATACACACACACACAGCTGTGACTGCAACAGACAGCATTTGTATAGAATTTTGCATAGAAAATCAGCCACAAATGCAGATATGTATATATATGACCTAACACGCATACACTTTTACATGCGCACACACACATGCGTTTTATATGCACGCACACACTCAAACACTTTCACATGCGTCCTGTTCATTTCTGCTTTTTGCTATTGGTTTTATTTTTGTGTTCCAAAGTTAGTTTGTTTTTTTGTCTTTTTACATTTGGATTATTGAAATTATTCATAAATACAATCTGAGTTTTGTTTTTAGTGGCATTTGTTATATTGCAAAAATGGACGCTTTCACAAAAATAATGATTTTAAAGTATTTTATAATGTTTAAATGTATGCATTCACAAAATATATATTAATGGGACAGGAGTTGGCCAGATCCAGATGAGATGCATGTATCTCTATGGTGGATTTGTATGATCAAAACACTATTTCTACAACCGTAATTCCCTCAGGGTTTCCTGTAGCCGGCACCTGTCTACGGCAGCTTGTGTCCGCCACAGAATAAGATAATTGCCACTTCTTATCTCAATTAATGATTTTTACACAGCCCAATTCTGACTTTATTTCTCTGAATTGTGAGTTATAAACTCCCATTGTGAGATATAATCTCTCAATTCTGACTTTTTCTCTCGCAATTGTGAGTTTATATCTCGCAATGCTGACATCTTTTCTCTGGATTGCGAGTTATAAAGTCAGAATTGAGGTTTTTTTTTTCCTTTTCCTCATAATTGACTTTATAACTCACATTTGAGAGAGAAAGTCAGAATTGCATGTTATAAAGTCAGAATTGTTACATCTAAACAAGCAAATTCTGAGGATTTGTATTAATTTTTTTATTCTTTGGTGGAAACGAGTCCTATCGAACTCTGCCTGTAATTCAGATCTCTAAATTACATGCTAATCATGTCTGGAAATTGATCTCTAGGTTTTTTCCTGAAAAAAAAAAAATCCTATTTCAAATGCAAACTAATGGTGTAGTTAAATTAATTTTGTGGTAAATGGGTAAAAAGAAAGTTTTTTTTGACATACACTCGCTGTGTGAGCGTCAGGACCGACTGTGAGCGTCTGCTTCCAGGGTTCGGACATCAGCCCGGCGCAGTACCACGAGGTGAGTGTGTGGCTGCGTGAAATGAGCTGCACGTTCCAGTTCTCCTCCGAGACGTTTGCTTTGGGAGTGTGTGTTCTCAACAGCCTGCTCGCAGCGGTCAAAGTGAGTGAACGACCACTAAACGTGTGCAGATGATGTGCTCGACTCTCAGCTCTCTCTCTCTCTCTCTCTCTCTCTCCGCAGACTCAGCTCAAGTATCTCAAATGCATGGCCATCACCTCTCTGATCCTCGCTGCAAAAGTCAACGAGGAGGACGAGGCGAGAGGCAGAAAACACACACACACACACCACTTTTAACCATTCCAGTGCCTTTATTGTTCTGTTTTGTTGGCGAACAGGTGATGGCGCCGGTCAAAGACCTGCTGGAGCAGAGCAGATGCAGGTTCTCCACAGCGGAGATTCTGCGCATGGAGCGAGTCATATTAAACAAGCTGCACTGGGACCTGTACATCGCTACGCCCCTGGACTTCATCCACATCGTGAGTTACGACTCGTCTCTCTAGTGTTCAGATCAGAGCGGCACGGTACAAAAAAGCACAGGAACACATTAGGGTTGGGTATCGATTCGAGTTTTACCGATTCTTATCCATTGGTTATTTCGATTCCAATGAGGTAAAGAGAAAAAAAATCTTATTGCAAAACAAATTTAATTTTAGTTAGAGGGATAGTTGATTTTGAAATTAATTTTTGGCGTGTTTTATCTTACCTCAAGGGCATCCAAGATGTAGGTGTCTTTGTTTCCACAGTATTTTCAATTTTGATATTTTTAGGTCAAACCGTTCTTGTCTCTCAGTCATATAATGGAGGTCTATGGTCACCACCTCAAAGAGTATTTATATGGTATATAGCCACAAAGCGTCCGCGCCCTCAGATCAGTTGGACGTGGCTGTGGTTACAAGAGGTGAAACGATATAAATACTGTTGGTTTTCTCACACAAAACGCTCGTTTCGTGTCTTAGGCCATCAATGTGTACTTACATTTACGAGGCATTAAATCATGTTTAATTTGGACTTCTCTGTGCATGCTCTTTGAGGTGGTGACCATAGACCTCCATTATATGACTGATAGACAACAACGGTTTGACCTAAAAATATCAAAATTGCAACTACTGTGGAAACAAAGACACCTACATCTTGGATGCCCTTGAGGTAAGATAAAACATGCCCATAGCTGTCAACCCTCCCGTTTTTTCCGGGTTTCTCACGTATTTTTGCTCTTTTCCCGCTGTGTTCCCGTTTTAGTATTTTCCCGTAAAATATCCCGTATTTTTACTCTGATTGTGTGAGACATACGAGCTCGGACTGATTCGTCTTGAAGTCGTTTATCCTCGGATGGGGCGGCGCGCGCTGGCCGGAGACACAATGGCGTGTCCGTTTTTTATTTCGGCTCCCATGTTAACAGATTAGAGCTTGCACACTGCCTGCGTGACACGCGCGTCTCCAGAAAACACGTGCATGCTAGAAATAGAACTGACGCCTATTTTTTCAAGCGACATGCAAGCGTGTTGAAAGCGTTTCCAGGCAAAAAAATAAATAAAAAATAGGAAACGATGTTTATGTCATTTTGTACTCGAATAGCCTACATTTTACATTTTGTTGTTTGAAAGTCAAGGTTTTTACATAAATTCGGATATCAATGTAATTTAAACAAATACTAATTACAATAATCGATTTATATTGCCATTAGTTTTGCCTATATATAAATTAATGTGATATAACATATGAATAAAATATCTTTTCTTTTTTTTTTCATTTGTTTCTTATGCTCTTAACAATGTGATTACACGAAGAAGAAGAAAAAACTTTTGGAAAAAAAACATTCTGGGCCTCAGGAGGATATAAAGATGGGATAGGCTACAATAACAACAGAGTGTCTTCTGAGTGATGGTCCACCACCACCAGGCTAAATATAGGCTCTTTAAAACTACACAAAATGTGTAAATGTAATTGAAATAAACAGACAGCCCAATTCCCTATTTTGTGGGTTTTGGAAGATGTGATGACAGTTGAAATTGTTGTCGTCGTAAAGGCAAGAGCAACACACCGCTAATCCAAATGTAGATTTTTTTTCTTTAGTTTCTAGGCTACTTATTAACTCTTTAGACTTTTAAGGATTAGTGCTTTATTTTTAAAGTTTGTGGGTAAGAATCGTGTAAAAAAAAAATCCCTTATTTTGGGGATGGAATCCGGGAAAACTCCCTTATTTTGTTCAATGTTGACAGCTATGCATACCAAACATAAATTTCAAAGTGAACTATCCCTTTTAATGGTTTAAAAATACCAACTAGCCAAACTGGTGAAACTGGGAAAATTAGAATATGGTGCAAAAGTTCATTTATTTCAGTAATTCAACTTAAAAGCTAAAATATAGACTCATTACATGCAAAGGTTTTCATATCTGTAATCCATAATCATAAATATTATAACAAATAAAGGCTTGAAACATCTCACTTTGCATGTAACGAGTCTATATAATATATTAGTTTCAGCTTTAGAGTTGAATTACTGAAATAAATGAACTTTTGCACCATATTTAAATTTTCCAGTTTCACTTGTAAATTAAGCATTATTAAAGACGAGTGCACGCTCGGTAATTAAAGTAAGAACAAATCGAATCGGCAATCGCACAAATAAATACGAGAACAAAATTACAATGGAAATAAAGATTTTAAAAAAATTCACAGATACAGAAACTGTAATCTACGGAGGCGTATTGCATTCACTTGAAGAAAAAAATGCACTCTGTTTTTCTGAATTAACGAGTTAATTTTTCATGAGAAAAAAAAATTGTTCTGTTTTTCTGAATTAATGAGTTAATTTTTCATGAGAATTTTTTTTGCTCTGTTTTTCTGAATTAACGAGTTAATTTTTCATGAGAAAAATTTGTTTGCTCTGTTTTTCTGAATTAACTTGTTAATTCAGAAAAAACAGAGCAAAAAAAAAATTCCATGAAAAATTAACTCATTAATTCAGAAAAACAGAGCAAAAAAAAATCCATGAAAAATTAACTCGTTAATTCAGAAAAACAGAGCAAAATATTTTTTTTTCATGAAAAATTAACTCATTAATTCAGAAAAACAGAGCAAAAAAAATTTCCATGAAAAATTAATTCGTTAAATCAGAAAAACATAGCAAAAACTTTTTTTCTCATGAAAAATTAACTCATTAATTCAGAAAAACAGAGCAAAAACTTTTTTTCTCATGAAAAATTAAAAACAGAGTAGATTTTTTTTCTTCAAGTGAATGCAATACGCCTCCGTAGTAATCAACTTTCACACTGCAGTTTATAAACAAAATAAGCATTACAATATAGTTACAAAAGTTGTTCAGTCAAGAACAGCGAGTGAATTTTCTCTTTGTGTTTTGTTGTTTGATTAGTGTTATTATAGAGACCGCAGGAATATCAGTACTGTCACTTTAAGAGCTGCACGGGTCCAATACACTGATACACACACGTTAACGTTCACTTAAGACACAACCGACTGTGATATTGGACATTTCTGTGAGTACTTGACCGTTCAAGCGCAAAAAGTGTGAGAGGCGGCTTTCTGTGCGAGTCTTTAAACGGTTTAAAGTCCATATCGAAATGCGCGCGCGTCTCATCAAATCCATGGTTTACTAAAATGGCACCGTTCCCGATACCCAACCCTTGAAAACACACAAACATCAGCAGGAATGGACTGTTGGTCCTTGATATTGTGCATGTGAATCTGCGGCCGCGTGGCGTGTGTGTCCGGCCAAGGCACTGATCTGACTTTAGCAGATCGATAACCCTGCAAATGTACTCCGAAACCAGAGCGATTCTCTTTCCTACAGAGTGGGGTTCAGTTCAAATACCTCAAAATATGAATTTTTAGCAGAAGTTTATGTAGCAAAGAGTTGACCGAGGCATTTAGAAACAATCAGATCATCCACTAAACATGGGGACGGAACGAGACCCGATAAAACACTTCTGTGGTTTTAAAAAACACAAGATCCTGATCCTGAAAAAACAATATCTTAGTCAAAAAAATAATAAAATCAGGTTAAATATGGGAGAAACTTCTGATACCTGGGTCTTATTTTACCCCAAATCAAAGAAATAAATGTATTTTGGATAAAGAAAACAAGCCTATTTAGGGAGCGTTCAGATTTCTTTTGGGATAGATGCCATATTTAATATAATTTGCCCTTCAGTGGCCGGTGTTCGCCGTCATGAGCATAACTGCACCTCAGGATTTAAAGGCATCACAAGCAATTATTTAGTAAAGACGCATTTTCAATTTTAATGCAGCTGAATGGAAAACGTTGGCATGCAGGATTCTGGTTTCATTCATTAAAAACTGTTTATATGGCAATTGAGCATATTTTCCCTTCTGGTTATTTTAATGTAAAAATTGTCTTCATTATCGTAACGTGAAAACGACATGCCCAACGATATACACTGTCAAGCTCCTGTACTGCATTATTTGTGTCCTGAAATCATCTCGATGCTCCTAAAAATGCTTCATTTTCTTCATCCAAACCATTTTAATTTGTGCGTGATGTTATTTTTGTGAGATCAACCCATATAGGTCATATTAAAGATATCGATAACGCATAGAATAATGAAATATAATTGCTTGTGAAATGAAAAAAATATCTAATAGCATAGAAAAATAAATTTACTTAACTTCCCAAATAAATATCCACAATTCAGAATAGCTTAAATATATATTACCGTACATGAGTCTCATCTGTGACAAAAAGAAAGACACGCTTCCACAGTCAACATTTAACCAAACACTCCAGATATATATATTATACACGCACACACAGGTGAAACAGGAAAAATTAGAATATTGTGCAAAAGTTAATTTCAGTTATTCAACTTAAAAGGTGAAACTAATATATAGACTCATGACATGCAAAGTGAGATATTTCAAGCCTTTATTTGTAATAATGTTAAAGCTACACTGTGTAATTTTTTTTAGTTTATTCTTAGCTAAAAACACTTAGTTCTTTCAAAAATATATGTGCTCATTAATGTATATTTACTTCGTTCAAGTAATAAACTATTCTCGTGAGTGTATAATATGCCATTGGAAACACATACGGGTAAGGGGTACTAACGTCGGTCGCCATGTTGCCCCTCCATCTTGAAAGTACATTAGCCAAAGAGGGACATACACGTTAATTCAAGCTTTGCCTTTCGCGTTTACGTTTGAGTTAACACTCATGGGCGAGGTCGAACTGGAAGCCATGTTAATCTTGGACTACATTGGCCACCGTAGGAGTTACGAAATGGGAATTGAGAGGAACAGAAAATAATATTCACTGGATGATCATACACCTTTTCACCACTAGATGGGGGTAAAAATCACACAGTGTAGCTTTAATGATTATGGCTTACAGATATGACACCTTTTCACAATATTCTAATAAGCTGTAAGCATTAAAATTATAACAAATAAAGGCTTGAAATATCTCACTCTGCATTTAATGAGTCTATAGAGCATTTCACAAGATGTAAACAACACTGGTCCAGAAGCACTTCCTGTTTCAGTTTTTTAACACTACAAAAAAGCTGGGATAAAATACAACCAACAGAACATTTAAAACTGAATCAAAAAGTTAAACGAACATCTTTAAGATGATTTCTTTACATGTGAAATAAAGAAAACAGTTACAAGCTGAAACCGGAAATGCTTCTGGACCAGTGTTGTTTACATCTTGTGAAATGGTCTATATACTAGTTTCACCTTTTAAGTTGGATTACTGAAATAAATGAGCGTTTGCACCATATTCTAATTGTTTCACCTGTATATGTATATTACCCTGAACTCATGAAACCATCACATCATTCCTACTCAAACAAGATGGCTTATGTATTTTTCCAAAAGGCTGAACCTATAAAACTTGAGCATTGAAAGTAAACGTAAACCAGAATCGGTCCTATTTACTTTCTTAAAGGGGTCATGACATGAGAAATACGATTTTCCTTTTTAAAAAAAAAAAAAAAAAATCTTTGGACATATAAGAGGTCTTTGAAACGTTTAGATTAAAATGTCCTCATCATAATCGAAGCATTTAGGCCGTGTGTCCACCAAAGCATTTTTCCGCACTCCTGGCGTTTGTTTTCAATGGGAGCGCCACGTTTTTTAAACGCCATGAGCGTAACGAGGCACTGAGCGTTTTTTTTTTTCACGCTGAAGTGCCCGGCGTTTTTACTGGTTGCCGAGAGTTGAAAAATGTTCAACTTTGGATAAAACGCAGCGCTCATCACCGTCACTTTTTACCCACCCTTCCAATCACAGTAGAGGAGGGGCGGGACTAAACCACACTGACCAACTGTCACAACATTCAAACTGTGCTGCGGATATTCTGTATCATAGCAACGAAACGTCTCAACGGAAAAAAAACTGACAAAACGCTCTCAAGCGCCCAAAGCACGGCGTCTTCAGCAGAGCGTCTAACGTTTCTTTCCAGCGGGCTAAAGACGCTTTGGTGGACACACGGCCTTATTTAATCAAGCTTCAAAAACATCTCGTTTTGATATGGCTGATCTGACGTCACACGGCTGAACACATGTGCATGTCCCGCCTCCAGAGCAAACACTGATCGTGGCCTATAGGGGGCGCAACGGGTCCACTTATACACTCGTTTCCAACAGTTAATATGACAGACGAATGTGTGTTTGCAGAGCGCTTCACAAGATGTTTGATTAACCAGTAATCAGTTCTGAGCATCCAGATGGTGTAATCGCCGTGTAAAATCGCATGTGTACTGTCAACACTGATCAATAAAATCGCTTGGAAACTGAAAAGTCGGACCATATATTTCTTCGTAACTAAAACCCACAGATTCACTATTGGTAGAGAGACACTGCACGCGATCGCTCTCTCACTACACGTGATTTTTTCTTTACGTGGATCTGATTTAGAACGAGCAGAAATCTAACGAGAGACGAGCTGATGAAGTGAGCGTTCAGTCTCAGACCATCGTTAATGGTTCATTAATGATGTCATTGCTATGATTGGAAGCGTCGATTCAAATCTAGTGACAACCCTTAAAGGAGCCGCGCCTTAAAAAATGATCATTTCAGACTGAGATAATCAGGTTTACACATATTTTGTGTGCAAAAAACTTTAGTAACATAAGTGAAAATTAAAAAAAAAAAATCCATGTCATGACCCCTTGATGCAAGTTTTCTGGTTTGATAACGCATAATTGCACATTATTAGAAGGTGTTCATAATTCTTCCTCGTTGCTGATCAGTGTAATATCTTGCTTTGTGCTCATATTCACGTCAACCCTCGATATGAACAACAACAAAACGAACAACTGATCGGGATATAGAAGAGACGGAGACTTGTGAACGGCGCACATGATTACAGCCCAGACACACACATGGTTTGAAGTGTGTTAAATAACGTATCAATATGAATTGTTTTGGTCTTGTTTCTGAGAGTGTTTTAAATACTGTTTTATCGAGAATATATGCCTGCACACACACACACACACACAGAGCCCCGTCCTGATGTTGTTGCTCCTCCTGCAGTATCACGGGCTGCTGATGCGCCGGGGGGGCTCTCAGTACAGGCCGGTCCTCCAGGCGTCGCTGTGGACGAGGCAGGCGCAGCACTGTATGGCCTGCCACCAGCTCTGGCAGTTCAAGGGCTCCATACTGGCCTTGGCCATCATCACCTTAGAGCTGGAGACGCTGACGCCGGACTGGTTCTCCGTCTTCACCCATCTGCTGAGGAAAGCACAGGTACCAGTGAAGCATCTCATCAAACCTGTAAACTTGATACGCTTGATGGAGGATTATGGGTAATGCACGATTTATCGGCATCGACCGATACGTGATCATTTTTAATGTTATCGGCCTGATCAGAGGATTTAGCTGATATATTAATACCGATAAATAATGTGTTATTTCCTCCAGCTGAGACTCTTCAGATGCGCACTGTTACACACGAGGCTTTGAATTGCTGAAATATGATTGGAATCACTTCAGAAATGAAATTATGATTCAGTGCAACATGTGCAGCTCAAGTCTGTCATATCGCCTACATAACATTATAATTGATTTTAATGGTGAGACTTGTTTTTGTAATCAGCCTCTCAAAAGTTATATCGGCCGATAAATCTAAATCCGAGTTTTTATATATCAGTTTTGAAATGCAAAGAATTATCGGTTATCGATATCGGCCAAAGTTTTCATATCGATCTCTGTGTGAATGCTCCTAAATTAATTTGACTAAAACCTTAAATTAAACACTTCATTCAGCTGAAAAAAAGTGAAGTTAATGATCAATTAATGAATATAACTTATTCATCAGTCAAGCTGAAAAAAAAAACTGAGTTGTATAGAAACTAAGGCTGTCAAAATGAATACGTTAACACTTTTTTTCCCCCCGTTTAACGGGTTAAAACGATGTAACGCTAGCCGAAGGGAAACTGTATGATCACGCTTTCTTCAAGCAAATGCTTTTAACGCATTCATGTTTCATTTCAGGAAGTTGTTCTGTATCTGTCAACTTTCCTTCTGATTAGTGGCTGAAATCAGGCAAAGTCATCTTTTTTTTTTTTTAAATGGTTTTTAGACTTTTTGTGCGCAAAAAAGAGTAATTATTTAAATATGAACTAACATATTTAATGTTGATAGATTTTTCAGATTAAATAAATATTACCATCAATATTTTTTTTTCACCCTCACAAATCAAGGCCTTCAATTACAGCCTAAAGTCTTACATTCATATTCATGGCATTAAATGAATATGTATCTCAGTATTTTAGTCCTGTTTTCAATACAACTTTAAATCCAGATCTGTTTAACTGAGATGCTAACGTGAGCTTGAGAAACTGAAGCAAATGAAGTGAGTTTATGCTTCGAACTCATTGACTGATCTTTGTTCATATTCTGAGAACTTCCCTTTGAGTGAAGATGATATTTCCTCTTTAAACGATACGAACTGAGTTCGAAAATTTCACAGAAAACAAGACTTTATATTTGGTATCCAGTTCAATAATCTTTAGACATTTGCACTGGAAAACAGGAGAAATACTGAGGAATAAAATAAAAGTTTGCAGTGCGATCAGAAACAATAAAGATATTTCCATCATTCATGTGGTTGAGAGCAGAGGTATTTACTTTCTAATTCACTCTACACAAAAGTAGCTCAAAGGATTGTTCAGTGTTGTAGTCGAGACCACCTCACTCGAGTCCGAGTCAAGACCGAGTCCATAGAGAGTCGAGTCCGAGACCAGAGACGGTCGAGTCCGAGTCGAGACCGAGACCAGTGAGGGTTGATTACCTAATTTACTTTTATTTACTTTTTTTTTTTTACTGAATTTACTTGGAGTTTAAAAAATATGATCAGTTTAGGGTAAAAAGGCCACATAGTAGGTGGTGTTAAAAGCAGTGTTGGGAGTAACGCATTACAAAAGTAATACATTACAGTAACATATTACTTTTTGCTGTAACGCAGTAGTGTAAGGCATTACTAATCAATTTTCAGTAATATTTTACTCGTTACATGTTCAGTGAGGCTTGTATTACAGTTTGTATTACAGTGTATTGTCTGCTTTTACTTCTTAAAGGCAACAGACTATGTGAAAGTTTTAAAGCAGTCTTTTAGTGCCAGTTCAGAGCGGTCGCGTCTGTAACATTGTTTTTTCCTCATAAATGCGAACACGAAAACTAAAATAAAATAAATATTTTAAGTTCTATGGAGAATGCAGAGCCAACCCTTCCTCATCCGATTTGCGCAGTGTAATTAACAGAATTACAAAAAAATATATTTTGCCTCCTATTTTTTTGTCACGCATGAATGTGTGTCTTTTCCCTAATATTAAAAATAAAACATAGACTGATATTTGTCTAATGCCTGGAGTCCTTTAAGGAAGTAGCCTATTTATGTTTCAATATATGAAGAGTTCAGATGCAAAAGCCTCTAAATGCCATTTGAAATTTTCTTCTTTAATGATGATTTTTATCAAAGTTGTTTATTTAAGTTCAGTAATTTCACTTAAATAACAATTAAAAGGTAATTAGCATTGCCATTTAAGTGAAATCACTGAACTTAAATATGCAAGCTTGATAAAAATGATCATTCTAGAAGAACATTTCAAATGGCACTTAGAGGCTTTTGCATCTGAACTCTTCATATGTATTTTCTGAGAATTTTTATTTCAAGTTTTGACTGCAAATGTCATGTCCATAATGCTGGACTTCCCCAATTTTAAATAATTTATCCTCAACTAGTTTTGTGGTGTAGGTCTACGTATTTTATAATGTTAACTTCAAATAATACTAATAGCCTAATTTAAAGATAAGGCAGCATTGGATCTGGACGGTAAGGAGAATAACGCTGGAGTTGGAAGAGGTGTGTCGCGATTCTGTAGGTTCGTGGATCTGAGTCGTGTGGCGAATGGCGATTTCGGTTTCATATTGCATATCGTTACAGCCCAAAAGTTAAGTTCTACTTCTGTAGTTATTTTGGTGAAAGTAACTCGAAAGTAATACATGAGTAATGTAACGCATTACAATTCTGAGACAGTAATATTGTAAGGTAATGAATTACTTTTAAATAACAGTAACAAGTAATACCTAATGTATTACAGTTTGGAAGTAACTTGCACAACACTGGTTAAAAGTAATTTTATTACAATTTGTCATGCGCAGTTGCGCACTAGAAAATCACCAATCACTGGGCGTGTCAATCAATTTAAAGAAATATTTTATTAACATACATTAATAATCATGAAAAATATTTTGAATTGAACTCGAGTGGACTCGGGAATAATTCCGAGTCCTAAAAAAAAAATCTTCGAGTACGAGTAGGGTTTGGAACCGAGAACCGGTTCTTTTCCAGAACCGGTTGTGTTTTTGAAAAAATACCGGAACCGTGCAAAATTCCTAAGTTTCGTTCCGAAAACGGTTCTGATGCCGATGCGACATCATCATGTGGGCGAAGTGCTGGGAGTAGAAGACGCCGTCTTATTCCTAAATGACAAAAACTTCACCACTGAAGTTGCGATTATTTGCTCTCACACGCGCTGCATTTGTCACACACAGACACACGCACGCTGCGCGCGCCGACCGCCGAGTCACTCTAGCCTACATTCAAATCTGTTTGCGCTGAGAGAGAGAGAGAGAGAGAGCAGTTGTCGATATGAAACTGCTTTACAATCACACAGTCTCAATATTTATTTGTTTCACATATTCAAATGATTTCCGTTACAGAATTAGTGAGATTATAGTTTGAGTAAACATTGACGGTAGTGGTCAAAACAGATGCAGTCCGTATATTTTTTGTGTTCAGAATTTACAAAATATATACAATGAGCGAGTGCATCATAATGTTTTTTTTTTTTTCGTGTTTTTGTCTTATCTTGAATCACTACGTAAAGCCTGTAATAAGCGTTAATACTCGGACTTCTTTAGACTGGCCGGCGGATCGCAGCTGCTGCGGAGTAGCCCAATGCCTGCGTGACTCGTCATGGACATAAACAGAGAGAAGTAGCTCCGGCTACAATGTTCTTCCGCAAGACGCATGCAGTTCTGTTTATTAACTGCTAGAGCGCCGATTTATCCAGTAATGAAATAAGTAAAGTCCTTATGAATCAATCATTCAAACCGTTTAAAAAAATAATCTGTTCTACACACATATGTGTGTTAAAGCATATACTATTCCTTCTGAGAGGGTATTCTTCACTGTTGGAGATACAATAAAGGAGAGGTCTAAATTATTATAGAGAATGCAGAATTTTTTAATTTCCTTTATACATAATTTTTTTTTTTTTGCAAAGATTGCTTAATAATATTTTTGTTTACATTACCAGTCTGTTAAACTAATTTGTCATGTACTATAAGAAATAAACACAAAAAGGATTGTGGATTTTTCTCTTACTAATATTTTTAATTGAATGGGAAATGGAACCGGAATCGTTTGGCGGAACCGGAATCGGAACCGGAAAATTTCTCACGATTCCCAACCCTAAGTACGAGTCAATTCCGAGTCCAAATGGACACGAGTCCATGACAAGACCAAGACCATTAAAATATGGTCTCGAGACCGAGTCCGAGACGAGTCCGAGTCTCGAGTACTACAACACTGGGATTGTTGTATTTTCAAACTCAGACATTTACATTTAGAGAACATGAAATCACATTTGTTTTGTATTTTCTCATAAAAGGAACCGAATTCTATAATCCTCAGACTTTTTCATATCGAAAGTAATTCTTGCTAATGCTATTATTGAACTGAAGGCACATATAATGTTTATGAAAACAGCACAGACTAAAACATCAAGATGAAGATGTATTCTAGTGCATTATTAGGAGCTGCTTCACTCTTGAAACATTTTGGAGTTCATTTTTCAAATGTATGCACAATCTTTCTTTTTTTAAATTTTTTTTTTATGCATGAGCAGTAAAGTGGAGGCCCGTACACGTGTCTGATGTTCTGGCATGATTGTGTGTTGTCCAGATCTCCAGCGCAGAGTTCATCTGCTGTAAGGAGACGGTGGACGAGTATCTCACGGCTCTCCAGCTCTCCTCTCCCAGAAACCCCGTCTTCATCCTCGACTCGTCCGGCATGGCCGTCAGACGGCAGCACCGCCGGAAGAGGGAGCGCGCCGGACACGACATCGACGACTTCTACGACGGCTTCTGGTGCCTTTACCGCGAGCAACCGTCCATCAAAACAGGAAGACATGATGGACAGCAGCAGGATATGATGTCATCCTGTCCCCCGCTACTCGATGGAAGCTGATAAACGACGGCCAAGGCACTTTCTATTCCTTTTATGAAACCTTTATGCAGCACTTTGATCGTATTTGAGATTTATTTACTTTTTTTTATGTTTTTTGTTATTGTTGTATTTTGTGTTTTATATTAATGCGTCTTCATACAAGCTATTCAGAAGTCGAATTATGGTGCTTAACGTAAATCTTTTTGTTGGACAATCCCAGACAGCAACAGATCCGGCCCACATCCGGTACATGAGAATCCACACATGCTGGATCTGAGCCGACGCTGTTCCTGTCTGGGATTGGATCATTCCGTAATAATGAAGTTATGCTTTATGGTATTGGTCGATCTTTGAAAGAATCCTTTGTAGTATTAATGTGAAGAGGAAATGACGTTCTATTCTGATATTATTTTTCTCGTTTTTATCCAAAACACCTCCTCCCGACCCTTTTTAAAGGCAGCTACAGATATTAAATTTCTGTTCCTCCTAAATGAAACGTGGAAATTTTCTTTTCTGAACGGGACTCTAGATTTATTTTGTAAAAACGGCAGCTTTTACGTTTCTTGGAAAACAGTGTCCTTCTATGCAATAAACCAGACTGTTGACACTACACGTGTTCTTCGTTTTCTTACTGTGTGTATACAAAAAAATGTTAGTCAATAATTGTATCACTTAAAACTCATCTTTGATCACCAAAATTACATATTTGTATATATTTATTATTTTTTCGTGAAAATTTCATTCTTAAAATCGCTTCAATGCAACTCGACACCCTTGCCTCATTTAATACATGTGGTTCTAGGAATATGCAAATGAGCCCTGCCTCCACTCACTCAGAGATCCACTGGTTGATCACACATTGATCTGATTGGTTACAAGGTCGTTTGTGACATCATTCTTTTTTTTTTTAAATCAAGTTAGTTTTCTTCCTGTCTGGGCAAATGTGTCGAAGCATTTTACAGGAAAATAGTTTAATACAAGTATGGTTCAAAAATATGGAAATTCTACCATCATATACTCTCCCTTATGTTGTTCCAAAACTAAAGACTTTTTCTTCTGTGAATCAAAATATATGTAAAAAAAAATTATTTGTGTTAGAATGAAATTAATACAGGTTTGAAATGACATGAGGGAAATTTAATGACTGTTAAATTGTGAGTAAAATATCCCTTTTAGTGGTAATTTGTAATGGAGCAAATGTGACAATTTAAAAAAAGAAATAAACTTACTGCAGTTCAAATGTTTGGAGCCAATAAGATCTATTTATGTTTAATCAGGGTTCCCGTGGATCCTTAAAAAGTCTTAAATTAGATTTTTAAAATGTAAGGCCATAAAAAGTCTTATAAAGTCTTATTTACTTATGAAAGGTTTAAAATTTCAGATGACACTTCGATTTAGTCATATCTAAATGTTTTCCAAATTGAAACCATCGAATTTGCGTACGTATTCTTTTTTTATTGGCCTATTTTTATCTTTGTGGGTTTGCTTGTTCACGTGACAATTCACATGTTCACATTCGCGGCAGAAAAACGTCTGTCTCCTGCACGCGAGAGAGAAGTAGAAGAAGTTGGCAAATGTCAGTTTAGTCGTAAGTTAATTCTTCATGTGTGTAGGGGTGTGCGATGTGTAGGCTATTGTCCAGGCGCGTCGTTAGACATGGGCATTCGGGGCTTCAGCCCCGGATGTTTTTTTTTATAGCCCCGGATCTAAAATAAATAAATAAATAAATATTGATCATTATTATTAAATTTTAATCATTTTGTATTTATTTAAAAAAATTACCCGGTATTTTAATCTATCCTTCGGAATAATGTATTAAAGACGATTAAAATGTTCAAGCAGATCAAATTTACTATGGTTACTATGGTTACACAGCACGCTTGAGTTTAGCGCACCAGAGGAGAGAGAGAGAGTGCCTGAAAGAGCAATCGGTTAACTTACAGCTTTAGGGCTTGACTGTCATTGTTGTTTGTGGCTTCATTAGACACTTTTTAAAAAGGAAAATAAGGAGTCATGAACGATACGAGGCCGATGAGAGGCAAGAAGAGTTATCTAATTTACTGGCGCCGTTCCCTCAGCAAAGCCTGGTCGTCTAATTTAACGTTACTTAAGTTAGCCCTGTAAGTTACTCATTGTGGTTTTAATGCAAAACATTTAAAGTACGTGGGACCTTACTATTTCGCCTAAACAAGCTTATCCATTTTGTGAGTCATAATCCGTTTCTCGTGGAGAATGTAGATGAAGTAACGTTAGCCTAACTTATTCATCTGATTTGGCTTTAATAAGATTGGATAAGATTGGTATTATCGAAGAAAATATTAATTATCTTTAGGAATCCTATCTTGCTTCCTCCTATCCAGAGCCGGCCCGAGCCTTTTGGGGCCCCTAAGCAGAATTTGATTTGGGGGCCCCTCCCACGACTCGGAGTCACCTGTGTTTGACGATTATTGACACAAATGTCACGCAATAATGATACATTATAAATGAATACACTTAGGTTATGTATTAGGCTACAACAAAATTAATACTTAATAAAAGAAAATAGATGCCTACTTAAATAAAAAAAAAAAGTTTTAACAGTCTTAAAACTGTCTCAAAACATATAAAAGAAATTATTTGCTAAAATTATGACAAAACTGAGAAACATAACAACAAGCCTATTGTTGAAAACTAAAAATATTTGGCCTACTATTTCTCAACTGTCTTGTAACTGTCCTCAAAAGCTTTATTATTATTTTTATTATCGTAAGAGACTTTGTTAGACATAATCCAACAAAGTCTGTTACTATAATACCGGTAATGATGTTCTGGCGCACGTTGATGTGTGTATGCAATGTGTTTTTCCCCTCGGGGCTTGCCGTAGATCGTGCGCAGGCTGCAAACTTGGTAGGCTACTGGAGTGTTGCGGGTTTTTGGAGGTCTGATGTGTGGTATAATAAAGTGGAGAAGAGTTCAAACTGCTATGTTTATTATTTATTCAAACTGCTACCCTGACACCTTGAAGGTTAAGTTCCCCTGCGGGCTGTTTTCTCCAATACCAGAGCCGATACCGTGACAAAGCGCAGTTGCGCACAAATTGTCTATGCACGCGCGAGGTGGATCTAGAGGATTATGCGCATGACTTAAACGCAGGCACACACAGCAGCCGTTGTAACTTGTCTTGTAGGCAGGTATATTGATCATTAAATTAGATTTTCGTTGTCTTGAATGATTCATTCAGTCATTTTCATTAAGTCATTTTCATTCATTCATTGATTTATGTCACTTAAGTAATCTAAAAAAAATAAAAATAAAAAATAACTCCGAAAGCGGCCGCTTAGTTGAGAAGTTCGCTTATGCCTCGGGCCGGCTCTGAACTCAACAGATTCAGTGGCTCAGTTGATGGCTTTAATCAAGAAGACCTAAGTTTAATTCCCATTCTTGCTTACGTTAAATTGTTGTGATCATATCAAACAAAGTGGCCAAAACAACATTTCTTCAACCCGGTATCACGACAAGACATGAAATAATCACTTTGGTGCACTTTTGAAAACGCGACGTCACGGTTTAAACCCCCTCAAACGTGAAACTTACACTTAAACTGAAACTTACCTATTGGTTTTCATTAAACTGAGAAAAATGGAATTGTGTTTTATTGACGATCACTGAGAAATGGTCTAATATTTAAAATGCAAAAAAAACATTTATTAATTTCAAGATGAAAAGGATTCATTTGCCTCGATCCACGCTGAAAAAACGTCTAAATGTCAAATTTTTAATGAAGCAGCCCTAAATAGTCCACTTTGGAAAATGTGTAGATGTCACGGTTTAACCCCCTCAAACGTGAAACGTACACGTTTGCGTTAACACGCTCCAGTGGAGAGATATCCGGATGTTTATTCGCCTCGCCATAACGACCTATCGGTTTTCATTAAACCGAGAAAAATGGAATTTTGTTTTATTTACGATCACTGAGAAATGTTCTATTATTTGAAATGCAAAAAAAAAAAAAAAAACATGTATTATTTTCAAGATGAAAATGATTCATTTGCATGGATCCACGCCGAAGAAAACGTCTAAATGTCACGTTTTTAATGAAGCAGCCTAATGAGTAAAATGTCTATTTTTTCGGCGTCCCCTAAGCTCCTCGTTTAAGCAAAAGGTACGCTAAAACAACGTATTACATCGACGTTAAACCACGTTAACCATGTTAACCATAACCTTTTAAATACTCGACATAGTTCCATTGCTTAGCAACAGGAAGAAACTACTGTAACTTCAGTGAGCTCAACAGATTCAGTGGCTCAGTTGATAAAGCGTTGGGCTTTAATCAAGAAGACTTGAGTTCAATTCCCATACTTGCGTTAATTTGTTGTAAGTTATATCAAACAAAAGTAACCTAAACAATATTTCTTCAACCCGGTATCGTGACAAGACGTAAAATAATCACTTTGGTGCACTTTTGAAAACGTGTAGATGTCACGGTTTAAACCCCCTCAAACGTGAAACTTACACTTAAACTGAAACTTACCTATTGGTTTTCATTAAACTGAGAAAAATGGAATTTTGTTTTATTGACGATCACTGAGAAATGGACTATTATTTAAAAAGCAAAAAACATTTATTATTTTCAAGGTGAACAGGATTCATTTGCCTGGATCCACGCCGAAAAAAACGTCTAAATGTCACGTTTTTAATGAAGCAGCCTAATGAGTAAAATGTCTATTTTTCCGGCATCCCCCCAGCTCCTCGTTTAAGCAAAAGGTACGCTAAAACAACGTATTACATCGACGTTAAACCACGTTAACCGTGTTAACCATAACCTTTTAAATACTCGACCTAGTTCCATTGCTTAGCAACGGGAAGAAACTCCAGTAACTTCAGTGCCCAACCCGTATCACGACAAGACGTGAAATAATCACGTTGGTCCAATTTGGAAAACGTGTAGATGTCACGGTTTAGTTGAAACTCAAAACCATAAATGGGGCCATACTGCCCTCTTGTGTCAAATTATATTTCTATATTTTGATTTTCGATATCTCAGCTCTGGAAGGGTCTAGAGCCTCCATTGTTGCACTCAGATCTAAGTCTCGTGGCCCTCTATCAGAATCCAGAGTTTTGAGAAGATTAGGGATACTTAATTTTTCGCCAAAAAAAAAAACGTAAGGGGTAACACTGTCGTTTTTTTTTCGGGTCGAAATTTTGATTTTCGATATCTCAGCTCTGGAAGGGTCTAGAGCCTCCATTGTTGCACTCAGATCTAAGTCTCATGGCCCTCTATCAGAATCCAGAGTTTTGAGAAGATTGGGGATACTTAATTTTTCGCCCAAAAAAAAAAAACGTAAGGGGTAACACTGTCGTTTTTTTTTTCGGGTCGAAATTTTGAGTTTCGATATCTCAGCTCTGGAAGGGTCTAGAGCCTCCATTTTTGCACTCAGGTCTAAGTCTCATGGCCCTCTATCAGAATCCAGAGTTTTGAGAAGATTGGGGATACTTAATTTTTCGCCCAAAAAAAAAAAAACGTAAGGGGTAACACTGTCGTTTTTTTTTCGGGTCGAAATTTTGAGTTTCGATATCTCAGCTCTGGAAGGGTCTAGAGCCTCCATTTTTGCACTCAGGTCTAAGTCTCAT